TGCTGAGAGAGTTGCTTCTACACCTCCCATCGAGCTGTGGAACATAGCGACATATTTTTCGCTTTTTTTTCAGTAAATAAATTGACATTGATCATGATCCTTTCTTAATGTTATAATTTTACCGGAATATTTTAAATTTAGTTCATTTGTTTAGCAGTTTTCAAACATTTAGCAGTTTTTGGTTGGGCTTGCTGACTTTAAAATGCAGTTACACATAAAACCAATTGAGAAATAAAACGTCTTAGAGCTGATCTTCCATATAATGAGAAAAATTTATCAATGTAAATTCATTTAGTATTCCTCTTTATTTGAAATGATTGTACTTGACTCATCTAAAGGAGGAGATGAGATTCACCCACCACTTACATAGCAAGTACATGTCACGTCCTCAGAAATACTCTCACTCAATTCATCATCATCATATCATTGTAATATTTTAATTCTCTTAAAGTGATTGTACTTGGCTCACCTAAAGAAGGAGATGAGCATAAGGAGCAGTTACCATGTTTTAGTAAATACCATCGCGTCTGAGAAAATACCATCACGTCTTAGTAAATACCATCACGTCTGAGAAAATACCATCACGTCTTAGTAAATACCATCACGTCTTAAATACCATCACGTTTAGTAAATACTATCCCGTCTTAAATACCATCACGTTTAGTAGTACCATTACATCTTAGCAAATACCATCATGTCTTAAAATACCATCACGTTTAGTAAATACCATCACCTCTAAAGTACCATCACGTTTAGTAAATACCATCACGTCTTGTTAAATACCATCACGTCTTGTTAAATACCATCATGTCTTAAAATACCATCACTGGATTTAAAGCCGCGACTTCATGTCTGATGAGCGTCGCTGTCCAGGGAGAGGAGCGGAAGCAGGCTTGCAGGGCAGTAAAACTTGCCGCAACTCCTCGCAAGAAAGCAGCAAAAGTGCGTGCAAATTGCACACCAGTCCCAGAGCTCCAAGATGTTTCATTGCTCGGCGCTCTGAGACAGAACTCTCCGCATCGCAGACTAGTTGTTCGGTCTAAGCAGTGATGAAATTCAGTGCATTTCAGTTCATTACACGATTGAATTTTAGAAAAAAGCAAATTATAGATAGTTATAATCATACATAATTATTAAAAATTATGACACAATCAGGACAAGACATAAGCACAAGCCTTATTGAGACAAAGTGTAACAATAAAAATAAGCAGCGAAAAATAATATCATTGTATATTTTAAAATGGAAACCTCGACTTGACTTGATTTGACTTGACTTAACTTGACTTGACTTGACTTGACTTGATTTGACTTGACTTGACTTGACTTGACTTGACTTGATTTGACTCGACTTGTCTTAACTTGACTTGACTCGACTTGAATTGACTTGACTTGACTTGACTCGACTTGACTTTACTTGACTTTGCTTGACTCGACTTGACTTGACTTAACTTGACCTGACTTGACTCGATTCGATTTGACTCGACTTGACTTGACTCAACTCGACTTGACCTGAAAGAGATTGAGGCTTCGTAGATGTCTGTTCGTCGCTCCTGTTTGCTTCGCAAGCTTGAGGCGGTGTTTGAAGGCAGGATGGTGAATGTACTGCCGGCGCGTCCTTCCAAAGGAAGTCAACACAACGTTTGAATTTGTTTACTGTTGACAAGGTTACAACTGGGTCCGACAAACTGTTCCATGCCTTAACCAAGTGTTCCGAGAAAAATTCTGACCAACCAACAGGTCACCGACATGTGGAACAGCCTCCCTAATAGCATCGTTGAAGCTCCGAGGATGAACATCTTCAAAAACAGACTAGACGAAGCTATGCAGGAGCATATGTTCAGTCTTAAAATGCCTAGCAAATTACGGAAGCTTGTCAATTCGCTCGTCGTGTCTTGGCAGGCTGTTGGCCGCCCTATAGCCGTCACGCTCGAGGTGTCATCCTCTGCTCATTATACTGCTTGTCAATTCGCTCTTTTGTGGCGGCGACGTCGAAAAAATGTGCGCTGGGAAGGGAGGCGCGCCAGCACATCACTCCTGTAATTGAAGATTGATAAAACGGCACCCTGGGCCCGGGCAGCCTGGGCCAATCGATGTAGGCTTCAGACGTCAATGTTAAGATCATCGAAAATAATTCACTTGCACTGAATTCAACAGGAAAGTTTCAGGAATATTTTGATGGCCTGGATCTGAAAATGCGAAGGTCGTAAATTTTTTGTTTCAACTCGAAATTTTAGATTCACTTGAATTTCAGTTAAACACCCACCTATGTAACATGGGTTTGATATAATTTTGTGAAGATTTTCATTTAATAAACACGACTAAGGTGCCGATGCAACAACGGTACACCAGCCGCCATTGTAGTGATGTAACCACTCTACGAAATTCATTTAACTTTTTTTTCATAGTTATCTACGGATATTTGTTTTCAGTTTCAATATTTCGTTATTATTTTTAATAGTGAACGATCGCGTGCCGAAAAGCCTACCTGACAGGAAGTGATCGTGATACCTGCCGTCCGAGTATATAGGTCAATTAGAGGCAAAAACAGTGCTGAGCTAAGAAGTTGAGCAAAATAATGATCAAAAATTGTTTAGGATTTTTGAGTGTTTTGTTTTTGTTTCATCGCATCTCTTAATTGAGAATCATGAAGGTGCAGCGAACATACTATACTCGCTTGGTAATTTTAATTTTTAGTCAACTATGACGTGGTAATTAAGTTATTACTTTGCAGAATGAGTTTCCTAATTTTTCTCGTGCTGAGAAAACAATAAACGAACAATAACAATACGCATCAGACCACCCTGAGATAACCTAATACTAAAAAAATGTAACTCAGTACTCACTGCAGTGAGTGACAGAAAGCGCATTTCTCGTCGACGAAAACGTGGTCACGGACGGACGGACGGACGGACAGACAGACGGACGGACATGACGAGCACAAAAGCGCCTTTTTTCCATAAATGAGAAAATGCGCTAAAAACCTTCTCCTCGGATTCGAAGCAAGTTGATGCACGCAGATGCGCACGGTATCTCAGCACATGCGGGTTCCCCGCATCCATGATGTGCAGACATTGCAAACTTGCGTCGTAATTGCGTTAGCGCCAATTTAGCAGCGCCGGTCATTTGCGTAATGGGCAGCGCAACGGCGACCGGCCGGTCGGCAGTGGCGTAGCACTGCTGGCCTCCGAATTTATTCATTCAACATAGTGATTCAGCCATCAAAACGATTCATTTATCAGAGTTATCAACATTATTAGCACATAAACTCAATCATAAAATTGATTTATTCATTATCTTGATGCATGTACCATATCGATTCATTTATCATGCACATTTATATCATTGATTTTGTTTTTAACATTGCCTCATTTATCATATAGATTCATTTATCACATTGACTCATTTAACGCATATATTAATAAATGATATTGATTCGCTGATGACATTTATATATTCTATATAGTATAAAGAACTCTATACTCTTTATCTATACTCTCTAAATAGAGTATAAAGCCTGCTTCGAATTATTCTGCTGCTAATGCAATTTAGATCAGAGCAAATAGTTCAGGGTAAATTATACAGCGTCGTTAAAGTGGTGCTGGTGAAGAAAGCGCTGCGGGAGGCAAAAAAGCGGTAAAAAATAGCCGTACGTGCCGAGAAAATACGAGTCTTAAATTTAATGCAGTTACCAACCAAGCAAAGGCCTATTGAAATTACTTATGAGACGTCATTTAACTGCTGAAACTGTGATATTTTGAAACTGTTGATGAATGATAATGATAACCATTTTACCAGCTTTAAAGCGAGAAGGATAAATATTCGAAAAGAAGCGTTGCTGCACACAAGGCTGCGTTGCTGCACACAAGGCTGCGTTGCTGCACACAAGGCAGCACTGCTGCACACAAGGCAGCACTGCTGCACACAAAGCTGCAGCAGTGCAGCACTCTATCGGTGCGGTGCCGCGGATCGATGCTTGTCTCACGCTAAGTGCTGATGCCGCCAGAATCCCAATCGCAAGCCGTACTTGGCTTCTCGTTGTCAGGACGTCTCTAATATTTGCTCCTCGCCTGGGACTTTCTGGGCCTATACTTTCAAAAAATGTTAAGAGATCGTAAGTTCATCAGCCAATCATTGACGGCCTTTCAAGCAAAATCCACCAATCACAGATAAGAAAATAGAGCGTAAGTACTTACGTTCACTTAGCGAGTTTTGAAAGTATGGCCCCTGAGAGACACTTAAAGAACTACTTGTGGCAATTAGCATTTTGTTTGAAGGACAACAAATCTTCTTATTTAGATCCTTATTTAAACATCAAACCCTTCTTATTTAGATCCCTTCAATCGCTATTATACTCGTACGTTAATGCTAACTAATTCGAGCAATTATGGAAAGAAAGAAATATTCTTCGCCAATTTAAGGACAATATTTTTGGATCTCGAATTAAAAATTTGAATTATTAAGGAAATAAAATGATTAGAATGAAACCTTATGCTGGGCCGGTTTATTATTGTTTACCGAAACAGTTTCATATTAAATTATCTGTGTAGTCGATTTTCTCCAATGATGAATTTTCCTATTCTTGAATAATGCGGTTACATTTCCTGGATGAAAATAATTTACATACTTTTTTATGGGTCATGAATGGTTTAGGTTCTTTAAGTTTATTTAGTGTATAAAGTTTATTATTTTAGATCTTTTACGTCTTACAAAACAAACAGTAACTCAACTTTTGTATTTAAAGAGAGAACGCGATATTATTGAACTCGAATGTACAAATTATGAATATTCTATTGCAACCGTACCTATTACCCTTCTTTGAAAGTATAATCATCATGATAATATTCATTTAATAACTCGTTAGTCATTAATTCATATTAAGATATTAATTTTGATTTAAGTTATTTACTTACTAACACCTTTGAAAATTTTAATTCTAATGATGGTTGTTTATCTTCTATCAACAAAGGATTAATATTGATAAATTTTATTTATTCTTGCAGGATATCTCACCGAGAGTCGCGGCTACAGCCCCCCGGCCCCCGTCGCTCTACCCCTCACTCCTTCACCCGACGGCAGACCTCTCACCCCTCCTGAGAGTCTCACCCGCCTCTCCCCCACTCTTGTCACCCTCGGAACTCCTCACTATGAGCGTCGTCATGAGGAAGAACCCATGAACCTCACGACCTCACGACCAATACCTCTCTACGAAAGACCTCCTGAAGACCTCTCCACGGCACACGCTATTTTGGATTTATCCACGGCGAGGGTGTCGGAATACTCGCCTCCTCACACGCCTCCCTCACATTACCCTCACGGGAATGCGTGTCCCTCATTAGGATATTTGCCGAGTCAGCACCATCATGCGCCTGCACAAGTTACAGAAGACGAGTCGTGTTCAGATTTACTCCAACATAATAACTTGTCGGCCGCTCATCCCGCCTCGCATCAGATCCACGAAAGCACGCCACATATCCATTACTCCGGCATTGCACCGCACGAAATTCTCAGTCCTTGTTCTCCTTCTGACACAATAATAGAAGTTGATGACGTGCCCTCGAAACTTAGTGATGGGGACGGTAAAACAGTCGCTTACACCTACGAAGCTTTCTTCGTCAGTGACGGTAGAGCAAAGCGTCAGACGCAAGAAGAAATAGACAAAACCCGTTATACGTGTTCCGAGTGCGGCAAGCAGTACGCAACGTCGTCCAACCTCTCCCGACACAAGCAAACGCACCGCACCCTAGACTCAGGCAATGCCCGCAGATGTCATGTGTGTGGCAAGGCTTATGTGAGCATGCCAGCTCTGGCGATGCATGTGCTCACTCATAATTTAAATCACAAATGTGGCGTGTGTGGCAAGGCCTTCTCTAGGCCGTGGCTCCTGCAAGGCCACATGCGATCTCACACTGGTGAGAAGCCTTTCGGTTGCGCGCATTGCGGCAAGTCTTTTGCTGACCGCTCTAATTTACGAGCTCACATGCAAACTCATTCGCAACTAAAAAACTTCAAGTGCAAAAGATGCAATAAATCCTTCGCTTTGAAGTCTTATCTCAATAAACATTATGAATCCGCTTGTTTCAAAGACGTGCCTCTACCACCATCTTCCCCTGACTCTTCGAGTTCACCTCTCTCTCCAGAAGAAACAATCCAGAGAGAGCTCGAGTCTTCAGAGACAATCGTGTCCTGTGCAGCATGACAGCTGGAGCACGACTCGTCAGAGACAATATTGTCCTGTGCAGCATGATAGCTGGAGCTCGACTCGTCAGAGACAATATTGTCCTGTGCAGCATGACAGCTGGAGCTCGACTCGTCAGAGACAATATTGTCCTGTGCCGCATGACAGCTGGAGCTCGAGTCGTCAGAGAACATCTAGTCGGGTGCAGCATGACAGATTGAGCTCGAGTCGTCAGAGACCATCTAGTCGTGTGCAGCATGACAGCTGGAGCTCGAGTCGTCAGTGAACATCTAGTCTGGTGCAGCATGACAGATTGAGCTCGAGTCGTCAGAGACCATCTAGTCGTGTGCAGCATGACAGCTGGAGCTCGAGTCGTCAGAGAACATCGAGTCGGGTGCAGCATGACAGCTGGAGCTCGAGTCGTCAGAGAACATCTAGTCCTGTGCAGCACGACAGCTTGAGCTCGAGTCGTCAGAGACAATCTTGTCAGATTTACTTACCCGCACCTGCGACATTCCGGAACCCGGACTGCAGTGTCGCCTCAGAGGTCTAAAGCTCATTATGTGACCCTCGGCTGATGCGTGCTATGAATTGCATGAACACACAGTATGTACAAATTTTCCAAGCTTAGGTCTCTAATATTCCATTATTTTCCCCATCTAGTGAACTGAGATCAAAAGCTTGAAGTGCTTTCCTAGAGAAATCGATATCAAAGAAAGAGATATTTCTTTAGCCGCTACGAACTATTAGGAAGCTGTAACTCCTTCAGATGCTGACTAGGATCTCTTAATTAAGCGGTTGAAATTCCTTGTCGCTATAAATTATTATAAGGAATATAATAGGAGTAGTTATGCTTTCTTTCCGACCTTCATTCTGCTCAAATGAAAGGTCTGTTTCATCTACAACGAAATAACGTCATCGATGACATGTTCTCCTGCACCTCTGTACATAGCAGGGAACATTTTAACTAAAGCTATCTTCAGATTCATCTTTAGCGATAGTTTCTCTATATCTGATCTCACTAACCAAAGATTATTCAATAGCGATATTCAGATGAAGTGAGCTAGGCGCTTCCGCTAACTAGGTCACTATTCTCTTACTTAGTTCATGTTTTGAAATGATTTGGATTGAAGAGTTTGCTCTGCGTATATGGGATCTGATCCATAGTTTTGAGAGTACTTTAGAGACTAGCATACTTTGTTTTGTTTACGTAGAAGCCTTTACATCTTAGCCTTAACGCTTATAAAATAATAACTATTTTAAGATGTTGCCAGTTATTTTTTTGTTTGGCTTACCGCCTTCTTGGAGAAAAGCATTCCTTCTTACCAGCCTTTGATTGCTAAAAAATTGATAAAAAAATTTGGATAGGCCTAAAATTTTGATTTTAGGGAGACAAAACTGGGATTGAGCTAACTGGGAAATGGCCTACTCAAAAATGTACTACTAAAAAAATGTACTACTACTCAAAAGTACTACTACTCGGATAAAAATTATCGAAGAGTTTGACATTTCGTGTCCCAGACCAAAATTTCTGTAGTGATCAAAAGAATCAACTTTGAACGTGTATATAAATAAATTCCGGTGACTATGAGTGCTATCTTGATAGAAGGTGGAGCCTTGAGTTTGAGTGTTGCTCTAGTCAGTGCCACAGAAGCTACCTATAATGCGGCAGCTACTTAAATAATCATAAGAGTTTTATAATAAGGAACCGGTTATCAACGACGAATTCATTGCAAATTCATAAAAGTAATGCGAATTTTCCCAATATTCTCATATGAAGCGTTTCCTTTGTGTAATTATTAAATTCCCGGTAAAGGCATGGAATATTAAGAACTTTGTGAGAAATGACGATGGGAGGCTCAAATCAAAAATTATCGAAGAGTTTGACGTTTAATGATCATTGCTTCTAACGCCTTTTTACCGAAGCTTGGCACAGCTATAGACGGAAATAACTGCAGAACATTGTTGGCTGTTTTCTTCAAGAAAAAAGAGCTGCAGCCTCCGCGAAACCGCCCGCATAATTTAATGTCTCCATTCGAATCTAAATTCAATTTATAATTTGGAGAAATCTATTTCGAATTCGCTCGCCCGAAACGAAATAATCGGCTGCCCGCGTGAAGAAGACAGATTCTGATCGTTTCAAAGCAATAATAAAAGGTTTGATTGTTACGATATTAACAAATATATTTAAATATCTTCAGTGAACAGCTTTCTTCAGTTTGATGTTTATTTTTACAGGGGAATGGTTGTTTTAATGCGACGTTATCACAAATAGCTTATTGCTATTTGAATAAAAAATTTGTTGCATGAGATGGTACGAATCAGTCGAAGGTTGAAGACTGAGGAAAGACACATCAGATGTTGAGATTTGCAAAGGTCGAGTCAACTTAACGCTTTTTCAGGAAATATCGAAGGCGCCTATAGGAATTACCAAGTTTGATGTGCTACTTGTATTTTGAAAAGGATTTCATGCATGAGCTTTTTATCAAATAAAGAAATGGCCTACAAGAAAATAATTACTTTCTTCAAAATTAACTGCCTGTGCATAAAAAGCCCAAAAATGTTTAATTGCATGCTCCCTCACGTCCCACTGGTCTCAATAGCTCCAATATCTGAAATTGGAGCTATTTCTCCGTGGAAGGTTAATGGCTAAAATAGCATGCCAATTAAAGAGTTAGTAAGCCATGCGTGTAGCTACAATGCTGATAATTCTCAACCTGCGTAGATGTAGCCATAGAATGTGGGGTGCTCAGTACAATGCTCGCTGGAGGCTCATATCAAGGCAGTCAATCTGCCAGCTGATCAAGGAATGGCGCTCGTACGACCACACCCTTCATGGCCATTAATCTTCTAGTTCGACTATTGCAGCATTTCTTCAATTTGGCAAGAAATTACGTCATTAGCATACGTAGCGCATTATTCAAACAAACAACATGACATTGAGGCGCCGGTAGATTGTGGTTATAACTTCGAATAATTTGACTACTTTGCAAGTTTTGCACAACTCAGTTTGAAATGTCGCCACCTCGAGCGCTTCCGGTAATGTTATTGATTATGATTTTACCTTTTGCGAGCTTTAATCACGAGGGAAAACATAATTCTGACGTAATCCAGAATGTCCAAGAATCCCGAAAAATAATAACTTTTGAAGTCATTGGGTATTTCCAGGGAATTCCAAAATCTTCGTGTTAAACCTGCGTTTCTGACATACTCACCTTCATGATGTTTTTGATGTTTTCACCTAATTTTTCGTCTCTCGAAAAATTACACATTTAATAGGGTAAGACTTATAGGGTATGAAGCAAGAATAATAGGGTATGGGGCAAGACTTTCAGGGTATGGGGGCAGGACCGTTGGGGTATAGGGCAAGACAATTAGAGTAGAGGAAAAGGCAATTAGGATAGGGGGGGGGGCATGAGTTTTGGGGTACAGGGTGAAACTTTTAGGGCACGGCGCAAGACCTTTATAAGCTTTGGGGTTAAATCTTGCTTACTAGGGAAGCTCTCTTTAGGGTAAAGTGCATAGGGCTCGATGAATGCTATAACATACGCCAGTCTAATGAAGAATAAACTGATCAGTATTCAGAAAGTCTGATCTCCCACTAGAAAAGATTCTCATTCGCTGTAGTTCTCTTAATATAATCAATAAATTTGTAAGATTTAAATGTTACAACGCTGCACGGCATACGAAGGTTATACCTTAAAAGCTTCATGAGAGATTGCAGAAAAAGAATATAGGCGAATATTAGGATGTGTGGGGTAAAATTTGAACGTAATTAAGTGATTTAATCACTTTAAATCAACAATTGCAATGGTGACGTATGCTGTTATATAGCGAAGTATTCTGTAAGAGCTTTTATTAAACCATCCACTCTGAACGAGTACCTAGAAAGTATTTAGTTTTAAGTTTGACGAGTCGGTTTAATATATTTTTATTTGAAACTAAAACGAGGTTTATTGTTTAGATTTAAGGCCACCTGTAGATATTTAGGGCCACCTGTAGATATCGCTACAAAACCCTTAGAACAACGAATGTTTCGATCCTTTAGTGAGTTACTATCTATGCATTGTTTACTGTAGAGCAATAATATCCTATCCTTAAGTCCATTATGCAAATAACGACCCATCACATTCCTTATGCAATATTCTAAAGTCTAAATGTAAGGGAAGTTTGATGCATGGACCTATATATCTTGTTAAGGTTTTTTGGAGGCAACTTGGGCCGTGATTTTTCCCAACGAATTATTTTTATGACGGATAAAGTATCCACCAATAATAAATTCAAGTTCGATGAAATTCGATCAAAGAAAATAAATCCATTGAATTTTGCATATTTTTGACTTGTACATCTTTATGTTTAAACTATTTGATTTCATCCTACACTAAAAAATTGATTCTCCAACGTCTGTGGAATAATTGTTGGCCACCAAAGAGTAACTGAATAAATTTAGTTTAAAATTTCTATTTTATTTGTTGCGTAGTTCAAAACCAACAGCAATAACTCATATGTTCAATTTTGATGTTGAATTTTAATGATAAACCACTAAATTCTGAACGAGTCAAACCACTGCTCATGTTGCTATCCCCTTGTTCTTGCATGATACTACTAATTAGTACATTTCTGAATAAATTTTATGAATATTAGCAGATTGTTCGATAAATAGATCATGTACAGTGAATAATCTTTACAGTTACAAGCTCTGTTGTGACAGTATAATAATAGGTTGATTCAAAAGAAGTTTTTAGACTTTTAAGATGAATGAGGATTAAGTTTAAATTTCAGAAAAACTTCACATTCAATTGGAGGACATATAATTTTTGGGATTGTGGCCACGCAACTTTTTTGACTTCGGAAAGAGGAAACTGTGAAAATGAGACGACTTTCTCTTTGGCCAGCGATACAAATGATAAATTGTTCAATAGTTCTGCAATCAGTGAATTTTGTTATCTTTCAGGTGTCTTGTATTAACTATGGAGCAAAACTGTGATATAGAGGGAGCTACTCTCGTATTCAAATCCTGT